ATAAATAGCTAAAATACCTCAAAATGTCTCTTTAGTTGTTTCCTTATGAAGTACATATTCTATCATGTATTACAGTTTATTAGACAGATAAGCTGGACAAAACTTGCTGATTTGCAATAATATTTAGTCCACACACCCTTCTAAACTCCCACCTCCTACTCCTGATTTTCTCCAACATTAGCGTAAGGTCAGCTCACAGTACATGGTCATTGTACATACACCATCCATTGAGAAGGAAGGTCCCTCTTTCTTTATCCTATAATAGGACTCTATTTGTCCCAAATAAATTTTAATTGATATATGTATATATCAATATCTATCTATCTGGAATGTCAGTCATGATAATGGTATAAACATGAGCTGCGATAAACATTTGTGTTTTTTGGAAAAAAATCAAAATGTGCTAATATTTGAAATATGCTAATTTAAAGTGAGGTCTATCATCATATGCAGTTATGACCTCTGGACCGAAATCTATCTACAAATGCACATGCACACCCATGAGGTGAGTGAGGATAAGCTGGAGAGAGAAGGGAAGATAGGAAAACCAGGGACGAGAATCATACCTAATGCCTCATTGGCATTAGCATCCATTAACCAGGAAGGATGCAGCTGTGAACTTGAATGCCTGCAGTAGCCACAAAGATCCATGGACCGGAGAATCCAGCTTGGTGGTATCAGTGTGAGCTGGAGACTTAATGTCCTTCCTGAAGGGGGCAGTTATCACCCAGCAAATTGCCATCTCGCTGCAAGAAGACACAGTTGGCCAGCACATCCCATTTTTCAAGAGAAACACAAAATCTGGGGCTCCTGGGTGGCTCAGTCGATTAAGCGTCGGGCTTTGGCTCAGGTCACGATCTCAAAGTTCCTGAGTTCGAGCCCCTGCGTCGGGCTCTGTGCTGATGGCTCAAAGCCTGAAGCCACTTCAGATTCTGTGTGTGTGTGTCTCTCTCTCTGACCCTCCTCTGCTCTCTCTCTCTCTTTCTCTCTCTCTCAAAAATAAATATTAAAAAGAGAGAGAAACACAAAATTCATATTTTAAATATGAAATCTCCTGAGTTTTAAATGTTTTTGTTAATTCAGTTAAAATAAATACTGAGTAGGCCACACAAGCCACATCCTGAACTTGGTCTTCAGGCCACCAGCTGTAACTCTGAGGCTAATGCTTCCACTTATAACTGTCCCCGAGACAAGCAGGGATACCTTAGACAAAATTATTTAATCTCACTTTTAAACCTTAAACATGGGCAAAGCATTGTGCAGTATCCAGAAACTTCCTACAAGATCCTTTGCAAAGTAATTAACAAACATCTCAACAATGCCACAAACTAGCATTCAGAAATGTGATCTTGCTTTTTAAGCATTACATAACCCTCAACCCTAGAGATAATGAAGAATACTAATGACATTTAATGCTAATAAGAATACTAATGACAAATGAATGCTTCAGCAGCTTTGTGTTAGCATATTATCCCTGAAAAAGAAGCAGTTTCTTCCCTACTCTGCCAGAGATAGCTCTCAACTCAGAGTCAAATGCAAGTAACTTGACTCAAAGGGAGAGAATAAATGGTTGAGGAAACCAAGAAATGCTGCCAGGAGCTTCCCCCCACCCCCGCCCCCGGCAGCAGGCCTACTGAGGTCACCGACCCTCACCTTACAGAAATAGGTGATGCCCGTTCACAGTCCAAAATTGCAAAGGTATAAAAGGACAGTTGAGAAATATGCTTCGGTCCAACCCCTGACCCCCAGCTACCTAATACTCCTCCCCAGAGGCAACTCCTTTACTGAACTCTTTCATCTTCTTAAAATATATCTTCAGAAGAACTGTTGAACGCATGGACATTGAAATGGAAACCTAGTTTAGAAATGCGTGCCTTTTTGGAATTTCAGGATTGGGAGGGACCTGGTTCAGTCCTTAATTCACAGCCTCCCTTAGCATCGCTCCTGCATAGCGAGCTTTCTAAGGATGAGAAACCATTCCATTCCGAGGCAGCTCATTCCACTTTTCAATAGCTCTCGTAGTTTATAAAAGATTATTTTTAAAAATTTTGAAATCTGCCCATCTGGTGTTTTTCCTCATCAATCCTTGCTTTGCCCTCAAAGGCCAGAGAAAACAGGTGGTCCAAGACCTCTTGCCTAAGAAGGAACGTAAAATATTTGAAGTCCTCCTTTCTTTATTCTGTCAAATAACTTGTTTCTCTTCCCTTTCTACAGGGTGTATGGTTGCAGAGGACTCACCACCACATTCCTTCTAGAAAAGATTAAACTCTTAGTTAAAATACTGAGAAAGCTCTTCTAAGAAGAAGACTGCTCATCAGAGGAAGAAAAAAGTTTCCGATTTGTACCTGGCCAAGAGAACGAACAGCCTGTGTTATGAAAATTGATAGATCATATGAGGTTTAATGTGGGAAGTACTAGTGTGTCAGTACATACTTGCCAATATGGTGTGCATGGAAGCTTTCTCCAGAATCTTTTGCTCAAGCAGAAATTTTGGTTGTAAGTTCTCTAAGAACTTTCCAAGATAGTCTAAAATATCTTTGGAGTCCTGATGTCTCCATTTGAAATGTAGTATTAGAGTGACGGAGACCCGGCCTGGATTTGGGTTCAAGGCTGGCTTCATGACTAGCAAATCTTACTTTGGGACTTTGGGGAAATTATTTATTTAATCTCTCCAAGCCAGTGTCATCTTCCTGTAAAAGGCAAACACAGTACAACCTAACTAATGGGTAATCAGATGAGCTAACTTCTGATTAGTACTTAGCATGGAGTTGGGGCTGTCTCCCTGCTATTCCTATGGTGGTGGCGGTGGCAGCCTTTGCCCGAGATGTGGCCCAGGCTATGCCGTGGGAACACTCTCTGCAGAGACTGAGTGCCTGAGAACCCTTCATGCAAGGCCCCGTCTGGGCGAAGCTGTGCTCTCTTAAGAGGATATCATTTCTGCAGCTTGGCCATATAGTTTCCCACTTTAGAAATAACGTATTATCTGTACACTCCCTGTAACTGCCAAAGAGCACAAACTCATCTGGAATGTCACCCCTTCCATCAAAAACTCAGGGGAGAAACTGAAACTTCAGACAGGTGTCCCGCTAGGATGCAAAAGTCATCCATGCCTCCCCATTCCTTGGGATCAACCCAGTATCAGATTGTATGCCTGAAGTGTCCCACTGCCTCCTTGAGTAATTGTTTTCATAAAGCTTTGCTTCCTGAGATGCCATCAGATCATATCAAAGGTTGTTGGAACAAAATAGCTCTCTAAAGCTTGGTACTATTACAAAAAGGTGGCTAGGAAAGAACTCTAAAGTCTGTATACATTGTCTTCTTTCCAGGAGTCCATGGAAGAAATTGCTATGCAGTCTTAAAATTTAGTTGTAGCTTTAATTGATTCATGTTGTAACCAATGACAATATGATTTGTGCTACCCATCATATTTTCTTGACAGACGCCTTAGAGCCAAATCTGTGGCCTTGTTAAGTAAACGCATGGGACTTTGTTGAGCGCAAATCTTCTGCAAGACTCACTTCCAGCTTCATTCCATGTTCTCCTGTGGTGTTTCTGGTCTGTTCTCCTCCATTTTGGGACGCTTCCGTAGCTGTGTTTCTTTGCAGAGGGCTTTCAGTCCTTGTTTGGAACACACGGGGGGAATTAAATGAGGCTTCTAGAATCTTCATAGTCTTCCTCATCCGGGGGCTGAGTGAGTTCAGAAGGCTCAGTGATCTTGATTGGTTAAAACAAAGGAATAAACAAGAATGACTCTAAATTCAGATTATGTGTGTGTGTGTGTGTGTATATATGTATATATATACACACACATACATATAGGTTCTATGGGTGGTAAGGAGCCCTGTGCTCTGGACCGCTCCTCCAGCGACAAAGTTCTGGGCTTTACCTCCACTTACCTCAGGTTAGTAATTCCTACTTAAAGCTGAGCTGAACCAGGCCCGAAAGTCACGAGTGAATCTTGTGAGGAGAGGAGGGAATCTGGTTGTAGGAAGGGGCCCGCAGGTATCTGTCAGGTCTTGGAAGGAGCAATGAGAACAGACCGTACTCCGAAAAAGAAATGTAGCTCAAGTTTCCGCTGCCGCAGAAAGTCTCATTTCTTCGGGCCAAACCCTTCGTGAATTTCCCTGGCGCTTCTGCTCCAGAGCAGTGTGTCTCCTGTAGTGTTTGTGTTGAATCTTTATTACAAGCGCTCGTCGTTTGCAAAGTAATTAACACGCATGTTTGCTTTTCAGGTCCCGGTGACTGGTTCCGGGCATACGAAATGCTGGGGACTCGGTACTTATGCATTCGTTCAACTAATATTTTCCAAGGCCCGTCTCTGAGCCAGGAGTTGGGTGCCCTCAATTCCAGCAGATTTCTAGGGCGCTTGGCGGGATGGGAAAGGCCCGGAGACTTGAGAGTTCGCGTCTCCGCCGCCTGGCACTCTCGTCACGCGGGCGCAGCGTGGGCAGGCCAGCCTCTGACCCCCAATAGGGTCCCGGGGTGCTGTGGAGGTGTTGGGGGCCAGAATAAAGGGATGGGTTTCCACTCCTGCCATTACCCGGCCTCGGGCCTCAGGCTCGGCCAGTTTGCCCGGAGCTGGTACAAGTTTGCTCCGCAGGTTGGACGAAAGGCGGAAATGGGTACAAATCTGGCTCCACGGAGGCTGGGTCCCTGAGGAACTGCGAGTCCACGAGCACCGGGTCCGGAGGAACAGCGCAGGGAACGTCTCCACTCGCAAACCAGCTCCTGAAGGCACCCGCTCGGCTCCCGGACGCCGCCTTCTCCCGCCACCCCAGCCCCGCCCCGAGCGCTTGGACCCCGCGGGGGCCACCCTGTCCGCCACCTCCAGTCGCCGCCCGCCTGAGGTCCAAGCTGCCGGTTCTTCCTCCCTCCTCCTAGCTTTCCGCTCCTCCTCTGCTCCTCCCGATCCCTCCTCCGCCGCCTGGTCCCTCCTCCTTCCAGCCCAGCCTCCCCGGCCCCCGCCCCCGCGAGCTAGACGTCTGGGCAGCCCCCGGCGCAGCGCCGCGGCCGCAGCCTCCGCCCCCCGCACGGTGTGCACGCCCGCGGCCAGGGCGACCCGAGCGCGAGCGGTGCCGAGCTGGTCCCGAGCGAGCCCCGGCGGCCACCGCCTCCCGGGCCGGACGACAGGCCGCCTCCGCGCCCACCCGCGTCCCGCCTCGCCGCGCACGGCCGCCCGCCCGCCTCGCTCCCGACGCGTCGCGGACACCCGGAGCCGGCGCCTGGGGGGCAGCGATGCGACCCTCCGGGACCGCGGGCGCCGCGCTGCTGGCGCTGCTGGCCGCGCACTTCCAGGCGAGTCCGGCGCTGGAGGAGAAGAAAGGTAAGGGCGAGTCCGGCGGCCCCGCGCGCCGCCCCCGACGCGCCCCGGCCCGCACCCGCCGCCCCGGCCCCGCGCCCCGCGCCGCCCGCCCCTCCTTTCCTGTTTCCTCGAGGATCAGCCGCGCTCCGGCCGGACCGTGGGAGGAACTGGACGTTTCGTTTCTGGGCTGGGCGAGGCCGGGGCGGCCCGGGACCGGAGGCTCTCCCCGCGCGGGGCGGCGGGGCGGCGGGCGGGGTGTGGGAACCGCCGGCCGGAGCTCGGCGCCCGAGAGCGCTCGCAACTTTCTGTCCGCACTTCCCCGGACTCCCGCGCGGGCCCCGCGTCCGGGCGCAGACACTCGGCGCCGGGCGGCCGCGGTTCCCGCACGTGCGCACCGCGCTGTCCTCGCGGGGGGCCGGGTCGGGTGGGGGCGCGCGCCCCGGGGCGGGGGTCAGGCAGCCGGGGAACAGCCCCCGGGAATCCATCGCACCCCTCTCGGACCGCCTAGGACGGGTGGTTTCCCTGCACCCGCGTCCGGTACGTAAGCCACCCTGCTGGCCCTGGCCTTGGGAGCCCGGGTCCAGGCCCAGGTCGCAGCGCCCTACAAACCCTTCTCCTAGGTGCGGTGCTGCAGCCCTGACCTGAGACGCCCGAGGGGGTCTCGTATCTGCCTCTACCTGTGGCTACAGGGAGCTGGGGGCTTAGTTTTCCTCTTCGGCAAAAAGGGGGTGGTGTCGGACCCACCCCGTGGGCGCAGACTCCCAACGCTCGCCTTGCTGTCAGCCCAGCGTGGGTCAGGGGTACGTACCCAGGCTCCCCACCAGCCCAGGGCTCCCTCCCAGGCATCCACGCCCCCCGGGCTCCTGGCGTCCTGTGCAGTCGCTTCCCCAGAACTCCTGAGATTTGCCCCCACCTGCAGCGCTTCGGTTCCAGGCTTTCTGGTGGGGCTGGACCGAGAGGTGGGGCCGGCGGGCGGCGGGACAGCTGGGTCCCGCTGCCGGGCTTCCTAGGGGCGGGACCCATCCTGGCCAGGTCCCCACGGCTTCTCAAAAGAAGGCTCGCAGCAAACTTTCCTTCTCAAAATCCCGGGATTTTCTCTTCGGGATGTTTCCTTTAGCTTTTTGAAGAATTTGACATTGGGCCAACCAAAATATTAAACATAATTTTAAAAAAGGGGGGGGGAGGGCGGGAGATTGATGTCCGTGGTTCATGTGTGCCAAATGTCCAGACCAAACATGAGCGAGTCTGGCTTCGTGACTACCGACCATAAACCCACTTGACATGAGAAACATGCCTCGGAAGGTTTAATTACACAATTTCAAAATCAAGCAACCCGGGTTCCAAGTCAGGTCTGTACTTGCTCTTGATGTCATTGGCATGGGGAGTCAGGGTTTGGAGCTGAGTGAGTTTCTTAGGGGAGCGGTAAGGCACAGACCAGTGGCTCCCCAACTTGGTTGCACGTTGAAATCCTTTGGGATTTTAACCAAACCAAACAAGAGGAAAACTGCCGTCTGCTCCCACCCCCAGACCTTCTGATTTCATTGATCTGGGATGAGCTCTGGGCATCTGGGATTTTTAAAAGCTCCCCTGGTGATTCTGGGGGCAGCCTGGTTTGGGAATCACCGCCATAGGGGACAGGGCGGTGAAGTCTATGGAAAGATTACCTGCCACTGTAAGGAACTTTTTGAACGTCTGGAGTTTTCACAGTCTTGCAGAATATAGGAAAAAGGGGGTGGGGTGATTTCAGTAATAAGGGATTAGGCTTTTCACTGACAAATCTGGTGGCAAGCTTTCTGTCCCCTAACGAGTCTGAAGGGCTCCCTCTCCAACTTGCTATGAGCCCTGTCCTGCTCCTGAATCAGCTGATGATCGATGATCGATCGATCCGATCGGGTCCTCTTAGGGAAGCGGTATTTCTCCCTCTCTGCCACAGGGGACCCCTTCCTTATTGTATTTTAAATGGACTCTTAGAGCGCCTCCAAAGCATCACTTTTTTCTTTTCTTTCTTTTTTTTTTTTTTTACTCCAGAAATGTTCGCAGCTCTTTGCTGTTAACGCCTTTGAACACTGCTATTAGTGCTTGCTTAGAGATTTGTTTCTGAGAAAAATATAAATACCACTTAATTTGACTGTCCCGTATCCGCTTAAAACAGAATGCTCCTGAATACAATTGTGAGGAGGCGAACAAATGTCATTCTGTTAAAGTAACATTAAAACTCCTGTTTTGCTTATTTTTTAAATATAATTTATTGTCAAATTGGCTTCCATGCAACACCCACTGCTCATCCCAACAAGTGCCCTCCTCAGTGCCCATCACCCATTTTCCCAGCCCCCCAGCAACCCTCGGTTTGTTCTCTGTATTTAATAGTCTCTTATGGTTTGCCTCCCTCCCTCTCTGTAACTATTTTTCTCCTTCCCTTTCCCCATGGTCTTCTGTTAAGTTTCTCAAGATCCTCATATGAGTGGAAACATATATCTTTCTCTGACTGATTAAAGGGCAAATCATTAAACCTATAAAATGAAACATTTTTACAAAAGGTGTTAAAGACCAGTGTCAAGTTCAGTCAGTGTTGTTTGGGAAAAGTTACTCATTTTAGAGAGACTTTTTTGGTCTAAGATACAGTTTCTTAGACTGTATCTAAATCTGTTAGTGCACTGAGTTCTTAGTGCACTGAGTACTGTCCCTTCATTAAGCATACGTGGCAGGTACTCTATTTATAAAAGGGGAAACCGAGGCACAGAGAAGTAAAAGTGACTTCCACATTTAGCAAGAATGAACCAGGATTCGAACTCGGGCCTTCTCGCCCTAGCGCTCTCCCCCAACCACCTCACTGAGTTACACCGCCTTGTGTGAGTCCTGGTTTCTGGGGCGCCGGGTCTGGTGCGCGTGAACGTCTAATGTCAGGTGCTGGGAGAGGGGGAGGAAGAGCCCCAGGAACGGGCGTGTTAGGGTTGGTGTCTGTGTGAAACTTGGAACAGACACCGGCCTGTGCGGTGCTCGAGACTCATTTACTCGGTAGTCCTTCTGCTTGCCTTTTGTGGCGACAGCTCAGTCACCAGAGCAGTGGTGAGGTGGAGATGGCTTGGGGGGCGGGAAGGTGGCAGACGTCTTTCTCAATGAGACCCCGGGTGGGATTTGAATTGTATCCCAAGTGAAGATCCACTGCCTGCTTCTCTCTAAGGAGTTTAGATGTGAGGACGTTCAGCTCAGTCCTGGCCGGGCAGCTAGGATGCCTGCCTTCTCCTTCCAGCTCTGAGGCAAGGTGGACATGTCATCTACCAGCTCTAAGCTCCTGAGTCCTCATTTCAGATTTCAAGAAGTGTTTATTGAGTGCATAGCGTGTAGCAGACATTATGAGTTAAAAGGGGGCAGGGGTGACTTTAATGGTTTCTAATGCTGTTTCCACACTTTGATTCTTTAAGTCCCCGATCAAGTACAGATGGTGCCCGACTTACGGTGCTTCGACTCACAGTTTTGTTTTGTTTTTTCATTTTATGATGGTGTGAAATCGATGCGTGCGAAGTAGAAACGGGACCTGGAATTTTAAATTTGGATTGTTTTTCTCCCTGGCTGGTGATACACGGTACAATCCTGTCCCGTGATTCATGAGACATTCGACACTTCATATAAAGCAGGCTTTGTGTTAGAGGACTTATCCACCTGTAGGCTAATGTAAGTGTCCTGAGCACGTTTGAGGTGGGTTTGGCTAAGCTGTGATGGTAGGTATCATAAATGCATGTCAATGAATATTTCTAATTTATGGCGACGTAACTCCATCACAAGTCAGGGGAGATCTGAATTAGGAAATTGCTTTTCAGATCTGAAAAGGAGACCAACGGGCTGTGCGTCCATCATACATTCACACCCGTGCGTAGCTCTTGTCTAGTAATAACTGGTTGAACTCCAGCAGATTTTTGAGCATTATTTCTGGCTTTATCTAGTTTCAGAGTCTATAACGTTTCCAAAATTCATTCTCAAGCTTGAAGAAACCGATGGCCCCAATCCACTGTGCTGCATGATTAGACTTGGTCCACGTGACAGCGCTAACATGTTTTGAAATGTTTCTGGAGGTAGTGTCAGTAAAAGATGAAGGATTCCGCCCTGTTTACAAAGAAAATACTCTTTTTTTCCCTCCCCCCTTTGATCTAAGCTCCAGGGCTAGCAGCTAAGGTTTGAAACTTTTCTGACAGGAGTGGCGAGCCAACTCTAATATTAAGTTGGTGATTATGGATGTTAAGAGAAGATAGTCCTGTCCTGGGGCCCCGGGTCTCAATATCAGGATGGGATCAGGATGTTGGAGACTCGAGGCTTCTTCAACAACCCACCTAGGAGATCATTTGCCCTTGCCACGTGGCTTGCTGTGAAAGTTGTGTGTTTGTGTGTGTGTTTTAATTTGGACTTAGTAAGTACAGTTGAAAGGGGCTTATTTAAAGTTAGGTGTTTAGTACTCGGGGAGTGTTTTCAGAAAAGCTCCAAGTTCTAGAATATGGTTCACCCATGCATTGTATCCAGGTGTATAGTTTCAAAACTAGACTCTGCTCCTCAGATCTTTGCTGGACTACTTTCATTTTGTTACCTTCTGTCATTTTTGGACATTTGCGGTTGTCATTGGAAACGTTTTTGGCCTCAGTTATTACTGGTTTATTCTTAAACCATCGACACATGGAATAGAGTATCAATCTTGCTCTTCTGAGCCATTCCTATTTGACATCAGCGATTCTGTCCATTCCTTCCTTTTCATTTTCCTCCCGAAAGGTTGTCTTTTCCAAGTCAATTCCAGCAGTTGCTCTTCGCATGCCTGGAGTCTGCTACCCAGCCCATGGCATGAGCACATTAGTTTGAATTCGGGCAAGGATCCAGTGTGATGTCAAATAACCGGTTTGACTGAAATTTACACTTTTTCAGAGTCGTTAGATACAGCCTCCTTCCTACGCATGTAGATAGACACAGTCAATTCAGTTGTCTAGAAAGTTCCCCGAGCCAGCTGGGAGCAGGAGGGATATCCAGGGCCAGGGAGCAGT